ATACAGGGAATTCATGGTGCATTTACGTGACCCGCGTAAAATTTATGACTTTGTACGGTAAATCGCCCAGGTGGCATGGCACTGACAGACTTCATGGTGCGTTCAAGTGCACATCGTAAAGTCATAAAGTTTCTATTTTTTCTTATTTCCCTTTGTTGCATACATCTGTCTACATCTAACATTACTTTCTTGTTCTTTAATTACATAATTTTTAATGCTAAAATAAGAATAATATCCCAGTCATTTCTACATAGGCAGATTTTTAAAGTTCTATAAAAAAAATCTTATCAAAATGAACAAATTTGTACAACAGGTCTTCAAATACCTCATTTTCAAGTTGTTTTACTGCAGCATTTATTAATAATTAAATACTAAATTCACCCAATATGCATCTGGCCAATGAAAAATATGCTTGGCCAGTGGATTTTTTTTTATCTACCAGTCAACTTGGCCGGTGAGTCAAAAAGCAGTGTGCTTACGTATATTTTTACATCTATGCAAATACATATACTATTTTTGTAAATCATGTATTGAATAAATAATCAAATACAGAGACAGTTACTTAAAAATATGTTAAGGAGTAGTTTCATTTATACCATCTTAAGGCCCGAACATACTCGGGCGTACTATAAGCGGAACGGACTCCGCGAGCAATGTCCGCAGTCATTCGGGCTTCCATAGTCGAGCGCACTTCCGCATTGTAGTTTCCTGTAAAAATGTCCGTGAGAAATCCCCGCGATGTGAAAAATACATGCCGAGCAGTCACTGGTGCGCGGAGCGGAGTCCGCGCGGTCGTAAAATCTGAGCTTTGCGCGCACAGGGCTTGCGGACGTCTGCTTTGAGTTTGCGTGGACCTCCGCGGAGTCCGTTCCGCGTATGTTCCGCCTGAGTATGTTCGGGCCTTTACAGTTACAACTGGCCCTTTGAAGACAACCATAATGCTGATGTGGCCTTCAGTGAAAATGAGTTTGACACCCCAGGTCTAGGTTTAAACAATCCATTGATTTCGGTTCAGTTCTACACTTAATTTTAACTCTCAACAAGTTGTACCTAATGTAAACATGGTCAATTTTGTAAACATTATAAAATGCCTGTTTGAAATCATATTTAAAACTTTGACAAACATCGCAAAACTCTGCACAGCAACAGTTTTTTTGGTGGAACAGTATTTGATGAAGTTCTTTGTGTCACATGTGACAGTGGAACAGTAGCAAGAAAAACATAAATGCATAGACACATGTTGTAGGTGAACTGTTGCTTTCAGAGACTGTTCACACAACACCAAAAGTAGGGGCCTGCAGAATGCCCTCCTTCATGTATTTCCTGAAGTCCTCATAATCACTATGTATGGGCAAGCGGAGGATTAGGAGGCAGGTGTTGGCCTCTGGAAACACTCTGTTGGCCTCGTGGATGAAGTGAATTTGTGGACGGTGTGGAAATCCGAGTGGAGGCACCATTGAGGCTCCAGAGCTAAACTCCAGTACCTTCTCAAGTGTGATTGGACTGCATTCTCCTTCTGTAAGACAGAAAGTGGTGAAAAATATATGGTATATACATATACAAACTAACCTTGTATAGGTATGAATGACAAAATTGGAAATTGTTTCACAAGTATTTTAAAAAATAAAACAAATTTAAGTAGTTCTTGTTAGTACTTGTTTCATTCTACCTAAACAGCTAACAGTATGTAATGCCTTTCACTCCTTGATGCAGCTGGAAAACAGTCCCTGAGGGTTAAAGACATTTTCATCTTTCCAGTGCAATAATGTGAAAATGTAATGTGGTGCAATGTCATGTATTTTACCAGTTGGATGTCTCCATCAACTTTAACAGAAGAAAAACACTTTACATCCATCTTCTACAAATTTACATATATAATACCTGGACTGATATGCAGTACCATTCATAGTGAAAGTGAAGGTGAAGTTATAGTAGTTATAGTATATATAATATAGTAGTATAATATAATAGTTATAGTTATAGTATATATAAGTGAAAGTGAAGTTATAACTGATGCCATAAATAGTATACCTTTGACATCAATGAGCCAGTCACGCCAGTAGCATATTGTGCTGTTTTCTTTGGCTCTTTTGTTGCTGCCCTGCACAGAGTAGTCAACTCCAAATAGAGAGAAGAGGTCCTTCGCCTGCAGTGGCCTCTCCTCACTGACGAACATGCTGTGGAACACTGCTGGATTCTCTCTAAGCTCCTCCAGTAATCCTAGGGTTCTAAACCCCTCGACAAACCTGTAAAACATGTTACATCATTTGTGACTTTTCCCGGGCTAATGACAGTCTCATTAATCTGACCAAAGACAGGATGGGAAAATGCTTACTGGTCCAGGGCAGTCTGCATCCTTCCATTGACAAAAACGTCTGCAGCAGACTGGACAAGGGAGTCCTTCTCCTTCAGGTTGGAGACATGTCTCAAGGCACCTATAATGCTGAGACTGTCTGCTGCTTCTGCAATGGCACTGTTTGCCTCTTGGACCGTTGTCGCTTCCTGTATCTAAAAAGAGTTTATTTCTTATTAGAAATTTAATAGAAAGCAACTTGAGGGCTGTGTCACATCAGACTGTAAATTCAATGTAAAATAAGCTCCTGCTTACTTTGATTAACTGTTGTCTGAAGGTATGGTCACAAACTTCATCTACAATTGTGGGGGATGTTGGTATCCCACAGATCTGCTGGAAAAGCCTTTCAGAGAAGAAATGTGGTCCAACTCCTCCATGAACGACGCACACAGCTATCATTTTTGCCACCCATGTGTATAGATTAGTCTGTAAAGCTAAAATGAAAGAAAAAGCTGTAAATTGTTGTTCTGTTCTTAAAAATGTAATGTCTTAAAATTGTAATGACTGACATTAGTGCTACAACAGATGATAAATTGTTATAGCACATTTCAAAAAAAGTAAAAGGTCAATTTAAAACATGAATCAATGAAGAATCCAGGTAAAAAAACAGAATAAAGAGTTCAAGGCAAAAATAATTATTAAACAAAAATAACAGATACAAGTAAGATGATACCCAGACAATGATAACACAAGATAATACCTGGCAAACCAGGCAGGAGAAAGAGTTCAGGGATAGCATTTCTTAAAAATTAGTTTCTATGTATAAACTTGCAAGGACCCAAAGGACAGTCATGAGAATGTGGGCTTACTTACCTTGAGTATCAAGAGATAACTGCCGATCTTTCTCGTGGCCCTCAAAGATGTTTGACTGGTGGATGGCCCTCATCAGCACCCTTAGGTACTCTCTTGTTGGGCCACCTTTGTCAACTGCCCCTTCACCATTGCCATCTTCATCCACAAATGCAACGTCCAATTTTGCTTCAGTGTTGAAGTTCCTACGTTTGAATGCTCGCAGGCTACACAGCAAGACATTATTCCTGCACACATTTATTTGGTTGCTGGTTGGACAGAAGCTTTCATCAACTTTGCTGACCAGTTTTGTCAATATGTTTTGAAGATCAGTCCTACAACCAAAAAAGTTAATGCATTTTATTCATATGCCAAATGTATCACATTTTAAAACAGTTCTAATTTTTGGGCTCACATGATTAAATGCAACAGGACATAAACATCACACTGACTATATAGTATATTTACTTTGGGTTAGAGTGAGTCCTTTGTGTGATATAGATTAAGAGAAATGTACACACAGACAAACAAAACAAAATAAAGGCAGGCAGGGTTAATGAGAAGAAACATACTCATCCATAGGTCCTCCCAGCTGATGTTGTGATACAGGTGACAGATTTTGTGAAATTGGCTCCTCTTGTTCATCAACAATAATGACTACATCCTGGGCAGATGGAGGAGTGAGTGGTCCATCATCAAGCATTTGGATGTCTGTTGTGTATGAGAACAGGTTGAGTGGTGGTTGAGTGGAGGGCACAGACAGTGGTGGCTGGGTGGAGAACAGAGTGAGTGGTGGTTGGGTGGAGGAAACAGACAGCGAAGGCTGGGTTGAGGGCACAGACAGCAGAGGCTGGGTGGAAGGCACAGGCAGCAGAGGCTGGGTGGAGGGCACAGACAGCAGTGGCTGACCAGGAGATGCATGGTGTAGGGCATAAGCTCCATCATTTTGCTGACCTGANTCTGCTGCGTTTTGGTGTCAGTTATAGGCCTATCTCTGTCCTCTGCTGTCTGTGTTTGTCACACATACAGGGAATTCATGGTGCATTTACGTGACCCGCGTAAAATTTATGACTTTGTACGGTAAATCGCCCAGGTGGCATGGCACTGACAGACTTCATGGTGCGTTCAAGTGCACATCGTAAAGTCATAAAGTTTCTATTTTTTCTTATTTCCCTTTGTTGCATACATCTGTCTACATCTAACATTACTTTCTTGTTCTTTAATTACATAATTTTTAATGCTAAAATAAGAATAATATCCCAGTCATTTCTACATAGGCAGATTTTTAAAGTTCTATAAAAAAAATCTTATCAAAATGAACAAATTTGTACAACAGGTCTTCAAATACCTCATTTTCAAGTTGTTTTACTGCAGCATTTATTAATAATTAAATACTAAATTCACCCAATATGCATCTGGCCAATGAAAAATATGCTTGGCCAGTGGATTTTTTTTTATCTACCAGTCAACTTGGCCGGTGAGTCAAAAAGCAGTGTGCTTACGTATATTTTTACATCTATGCAAATACATATACTATTTTTGTAAATCATGTATTGAATAAATAATCAAATACAGAGACAGTTACTTAAAAATATGTTAAGGAGTAGTTTCATTTATACCATCTTAAGGCCCGAACATACTCGGGCGTACTATAAGCGGAACGGACTCCGCGAGCAATGTCCGCAGTCATTCGGGCTTCCATAGTCGAGCGCACTTCCGCATTGTAGTTTCCTGTAAAAATGTCCGTGAGAAATCCCCGCGATGTGAAAAATACATGCCGAGCAGTCACTGGTGCGCGGAGCGGAGTCCGCGCGGTCGTAAAATCTGAGCTTTGCGCGCACAGGGCTTGCGGACGTCTGCTTTGAGTTTGCGTGGACCTCCGCGGAGTCCGTTCCGCGTATGTTCCGCCTGAGTATGTTCGGGCCTTTACAGTTACAACTGGCCCTTTGAAGACAACCATAATGCTGATGTGGCCTTCAGTGAAAATGAGTTTGACACCCCAGGTCTAGGTTTAAACAATCCATTGATTTCGGTTCAGTTCTACACTTAATTTTAACTCTCAACAAGTTGTACCTAATGTAAACATGGTCAATTTTGTAAACATTATAAAATGCCTGTTTGAAATCATATTTAAAACTTTGACAAACATCGCAAAACTCTGCACAGCAACAGTTTTTTTGGTGGAACAGTATTTGATGAAGTTCTTTGTGTCACATGTGACAGTGGAACAGTAGCAAGAAAAACATAAATGCATAGACACATGTTGTAGGTGAACTGTTGCTTTCAGAGACTGTTCACACAACACCAAAAGTAGGGGCCTGCAGAATGCCCTCCTTCATGTATTTCCTGAAGTCCTCATAATCACTATGTATGGGCAAGCGGAGGATTAGGAGGCAGGTGTTGGCCTCTGGAAACACTCTGTTGGCCTCGTGGATGAAGTGAATTTGTGGACGGTGTGGAAATCCGAGTGGAGGCACCATTGAGGCTCCAGAGCTAAACTCCAGTACCTTCTCAAGTGTGATTGGACTGCATTCTCCTTCTGTAAGACAGAAAGTGGTGAAAAATATATGGTATATACATATACAAACTAACCTTGTATAGGTATGAATGACAAAATTGGAAATTGTTTCACAAGTATTTTAAAAAATAAAACAAATTTAAGTAGTTCTTGTTAGTACTTGTTTCATTCTACCTAAACAGCTAACAGTATGTAATGCCTTTCACTCCTTGATGCAGCTGGAAAACAGTCCCTGAGGGTTAAAGACATTTTCATCTTTCCAGTGCAATAATGTGAAAATGTAATGTGGTGCAATGTCATGTATTTTACCAGTTGGATGTCTCCATCAACTTTAACAGAAGAAAAACACTTTACATCCATCTTCTACAAATTTACATATATAATACCTGGACTGATATGCAGTACCATTCATAGTGAAAGTGAAGGTGAAGTTATAGTAGTTATAGTATATATAATATAGTAGTATAATATAATAGTTATAGTTATAGTATATATAAGTGAAAGTGAAGTTATAACTGATGCCATAAATAGTATACCTTTGACATCAATGAGCCAGTCACGCCAGTAGCATATTGTGCTGTTTTCTTTGGCTCTTTTGTTGCTGCCCTGCACAGAGTAGTCAACTCCAAATAGAGAGAAGAGGTCCTTCGCCTGCAGTGGCCTCTCCTCACTGACGAACATGCTGTGGAACACTGCTGGATTCTCTCTAAGCTCCTCCAGTAATCCTAGGGTTCTAAACCCCTCGACAAACCTGTAAAACATGTTACATCATTTGTGACTT